TTCGTCAGATTAGCGAAGTCTTTCGTAGTTGATCATTGTACAGTGTGGCTGTTACCGTGTATACTGTTCTCCTGGCTCTGCTCATTTCACTTTGCATCAGTTCATGTAAACTTTCCAGGTTTTTCTGAAAGCATCCTGCTCATCATTTCTTGTAGCACAATAGTATTCCATCACAATAATATACTACAACTTGTTTATCCATTCCCCAATTTATGGGTATTTCCTCAGTGTCCAATTCTTTGCCACTACAAAAAAAAAAAGCTACTGTAAACATTTTTGTACGTATATTTTGTACATAATTTTTGTATATTTTCCTTTTTCTTTGATTTACTTGGAGAAAAGCCCTAGTAGCAGTATATTGCTGTGTCAAAGGGAATGCAATTTTATAACCCTTTGGGCACATTTCTAAATTGTTCTCCAGAATGGTTTGACCAGTTTACAACTCCACCAGTGGTGCGTTAGTGTCCCTATTTTTCTACATCCATGTTATGCATTTCACTGACTTTTTTAAATTTCTCTCAACTCTGATTGTGAGATATGTTCATGATGTGGACATACTCCATTCTTAAAGATCCCAGGATACAATTCAATAAATTTAATTCAACTTTTATTAAGCACCTACGATAGTACGCAAATTACTTAGAACAAGCAGTAACTTTCCTATGATTTCATTTTGTGACAGCAAAGGTCATGTTTGTGTGACACTGAGTTGACTTAAAACATGTGACTTTGACCTTATGAAACTGGATTGAGCTGATTTCCTCACTTTAGTTAGTTCTCATCTGAGTATTCGATTTTAAGTCATACACACATTTCATTATTCTCTTTTGTTGCATTTTCAATTCTGTGGTTTTAAAGAATAGATATTACTATGAGGAAACATGCAAAACCTGTAGCTCTGAAAGAGCATACTTCAACAACCGTTAGAAATATCGCAGCAACTGTTGGTTTGGGAAAGTCAAGCATTTCAGGAATCACCCAAGCTCACAACGAAACATGATCAACCATGCTGAAGTTCAAAGAAAAATATGGCGGAAAACACGAAGTAAGAACTAATAAACTATTGGTGCAAGTGGTCTAATTAATCCTCAGAAAACAAGCAAAGACCTGACAACTGTAGGAGCTGTTATTGATTTTTCTTGTGAGGCATAGGCTTCTTGAAGTTGAAAGTATAGTAAGAAAACTAATTTTTTTTAAAGTTTATAACAGTTGCTTATTAAGAAAAAAAAATGCGTCATAGGCAAGACAGTATAAAGACTGAAGTACTAAAGATTAGAAAGAGGTCATTTTTACTGATGAAATTCACTTTTCTGTTCAAGGCTGTGTCAAAACCTTTGTCAGAAGACGTCCAAGTGAGTCTATAAAATCAACGCCATCTCCGTCACACTGTAAAGCATCTGCCCAAAAATGTTTGGGAGATTTTTACTTTCAGTGAGTCTAGAAGTCTTGTCCTCATTGAGGAATGATAACTTGTGATAAATATATTAATATGTTGAGAATCAAAATTGTTCTAAAATTTCAGAAATCCCCACCTGGAGATGGGATACTGACATTATAACTTTGTACCATGTCATGCATCATTAAAGATTTAAAAATATTTCCAAAAGATGGAGATGAAGATGCTTTGGTGGTCTGTGAGCTCACATAATTTAAACCCCACTGAAAACCTAAGGGTTATAAGTAAGGCTAGACTTGGGGAAATGGATTGTTTATCAAAGGTACACTTAATATCCAGAAAAAGTATGGTTTCACAATGAAGAATAATTCTTGTGAACTTAATGACAAATAACATAAAACAAGCGATTGCAACAAAATGAGAACATAAACACATATTATGAGTTTTTTTGACAGTGTAAACAGTTTTAAGGTTTACTGTATATGTTGATCAATGTAATTATTTTACTGTGTCCCAGTTAATTTGCCCACCACTTCACTAGGTACAAGTGTACTTACTAGGTGCTAGGAATATAGAGATAAAACTTTGTTTTTTATCTGCCCCTAAGGAGCTTGTAGTCTAGTTGAAGAGTTGAACAAATATCCAAATAGCTATATTATGGCTATCACTCTGATTGACAATGTCATCCAAGAACCTTTGGCCACCAAAGTCAAGTTCTTGGATTCTCACCCACCTCACCTACTCCAGAAAGTTTAGGATTAGATGGCACAGATATGGGGCTTAGGGCTGCCATATAAAAGTAGAGTTCATTGATGATAATGAATGGCATACAAGATAAAGGGGGCCAGAGTTCTACCTTTTTTCCAGGTAACTCCAAAGGCTCAGTAGAAGACAAAGTGTCTGATCTGGAAATGAACAGCATAGACAAGCAGAGTTTTTTGTTTTTTGTTTTTTTTTTCCCATTTTTGTGCCTTGACCAGATTAAGTGCTGTTGTCTGAAAGGATAAAGGAATCAAGTTTAGGTTGTCTTTTTTATCATTGCAAATACATTTACATTCTCCTATTTTACAAATGCAAAGAGCAGGCAAGCCACTTTCAATAATTTATTTTAAAATCAATGCTAATGAGGTTATGTCTCGTCAGTGGCCGAGTTTTACAATAAAGTCTGATTTATTTAGAAAAGATCTTTGGTGTAGCTTCCCATCTAATGGCAGGGGAGGAGGAGGTGGAATAGCAGTCATGGTGACCCTACAACTTCAGATCCAATTTGTAATTCACAGTGGAGATCTGACCTAATTTACATTGATTAGAATTGGGAAGAGGAGACAGCTGGGCCAGGCTGTAGAGGTGGAGTAAACTCTCTTTAGACAGTGCCTAAACACAGCAAATTGTATCTCTCTTTCTCTGTGTGTGATTGAATTGCATGAGATCAGCAAAAGGGCAGTCCCTTCTTCACCTTAGCAGGTGCCTCTGAACCTGAACATACCCAGAAAAAATCTCACTCTAACATTTTCCTTCAGATGAAGTCAATGAATAGAAACAGAGAAGAAGAAGAAACAAAAAATGGCAGAGGAAAGAAGGAATAGGGAGTGTAAAGAATGTCCTCTGTGTGTATGTGTGTGATTTATTTCTTTGTGGACTATTTCCTATACTCAGCGGTCACCTCTATCATCTCCCATCTCTATCCTTCATTTTAGTCAGGAGATAAGTAGGATGTTCTGTCTGGAAGAATTTAGTTGTAGATAGGAGTTAAGTAAGATTGCTGCTTTTACTAAAGGATGTAACCAGGTTGAAAGGAAAGGTATTTTGGGAAATTATAACTCTTGTGACACGGATTGCCTCTGCCTTCTTGCCCTCCCCCCAGTATCAAGCCCTAAATTCAAATTTTAAAAAATTCATTCTATGAAATGAGATCATTTCTTTAAAGCTATGTAATTTGTTGTTGTTTTTGTTTTGTGAAAGGCAATAAAGTGTAGTAGATAAAATTCTGGGGACTTAATTTCAGGAAAACCTGGGTTCAAACCCTACCTTTCACTCTTTACTATCCATGTGACTCTGAATAAGTCTTATAATATACATTTAGCTTGGGCAATACTCTAGGACCCAATTAGCCAGTCATAAACTGGGCTGTAACATACAAGTTTCCATATCAGGTATTCCCTATACTGATGGAATCAGATACCATTCTTGTATTTGAGTAAAGTTTTTATGGATATTTAAAAATAATTTCTCTTCCAGATTCCTGTGTTCAAAGACTGTTTTCTCTTGCTTATATTCTTTGTAGTTCAACCAGCTTTAAGCTATGACATACACAAGTCCTTTGATATATCCCATAAAATTTAGTTCAAGGGAAAATACATAAAAAAAAGTAATGTGGCTCAGTGGATAGAGGCTTGGCCTGGAGTCAGAAAGACCTGAGTTCAAATCCATCCTCAGATACTTACTAGCCATGTGACCCTGGGCAAGTCACTTTACCCTGTTTGCCTCAGTTTCTTCATCTGTAAAATGAGCTGGAGAAGGAAGTGGCAAATCACTCCAGTATCTTTGCCAAGAAAACTCCAAATGAGGTCACAAAGAGTTGGACACAACTGAAACAACTGAACAACAACAACAACAACAGCAACACCAGGGAAAGGCCTGAGTCAGGCCCCGCCTGTAAGAACTGGTGATGTGTCAAGAATTAGGGTCCATCAGTATACAACCTGTGTGTTATACTGGTGTCCTCTTGATGTCACCCCAGTATATGAAGCAATGTTAGGGGAAGAAGGTTTGGATGAACGGACATAGGATGGGGTTATGATCAGGTATACTGGAGGACATAGCTTTGTGGATGAGAGTTCTACTAGAGTATCTAAATATTGGCACTTAGCTACATATGAGCATCTCACCCTTCGACCAATGGGCCTCACTTTCCCAACTGCTTTCTACTGGGCCCTTCCTCTCTGTGAGGACCAAGTGGGGAACCTGCTTAACTATTTCCCTCTGTGAAAAGACTTCATTTGTTTCCCACCTAGAAAGCTTCCCTGAGCCCCTCTACCATATTGTATGCCTACTCTTCAAGGCCATGCAAAACTTTGTATTGTTTTATAGATTGCCTAGATGTAGAAATTCAACAATCTGTTAATAATACAGATTAAATTTGTGGCATTCATTTTCCCCCCAGAAAAGCCCAGTTGTTAAAACACTAGCATACCCTTATGACAATCTATAAACATTGCTTGAGTGCAATAGAAGTGTCAGGGAATGAAGTCATCACCAGCTTGGGGGCCTAGTTACTGTAGGCTAACAATAATAATAATAATAACTGGCATTTATATAATACTTTAAGGTTTGCAAAATGCTTTCTGTCCATCATTTTATTTGAACCTTGATCTTATTGTACCAGCCTAGCATCTTTTTTGCCCAAATAATTTATTTGGTTGATATCATTTATTCCAGTTCTCCATAATTCCCCATTTGGAATGCATTGTCTTACACTCACCTTGAACCTCTCTGCTGCCCTCTAGGGAATGCTCATTCTCTTTGGCAACCATAATGTCCCATGACTCAACACCATTGGGCACCACTTTCTAATATCAACCTTTTTTTTTTTCTCTCCCAACAGATGAAGAGCTTGATCTGGTTGAAGACAACAGTGGAAGTCAGCCAAAAAGAGGTACACAAAGCTTGGTTAATGCACAATGGCCTATTGGCTGCTCTACACACATAACACTCCTCTGGACTCTTTGCCTTTGACTCCCCATACCTGGAATGCTCTCAGTCCTCACCTCTACCTCCTGACTTTCCTTCCTACCTTTTCCTACCTCCATTTTCCTGGCTTCCTTCAGGACTCAGTTCAAATTCTACTTTATGCAAGAGGCCTTTCCTGGTTCCTCCACCCACTCACTATTCCTAATAGCATTCAAGCTGTATATAGCTTGTATGTACATAGTTGTCTGCATGTTATTCCCCCCACACACACCCCATTAGAATGTGAGCTCCTTGAGGGCAGGGACTGTATATTTGCTTTTCTTTGGATCTAGAGCAATTAGCACAGTGTGTGGCACATGGGTGGTACATAGTAAGTGCTTGATGAATGCATGTTACCTGATTGAAATAACTCTGTAGGATATGATAGCTTTAAACTGAAGAAAGTAGCCTTTTTTGAAAAGTCTACAACTGAACTCTCTGATTGGGAGAATGAGAGAACTTGAGTGTCTCCATACCAAAATCCCCTGGGGGAAAAAAAAGATAGCAGAATATAGAATGATCCTAAAGAAGTAATATAGTATATTCAGTTAATCTATGTCAGGAGAGCACCTCAGACTCTTACCACAGGGAGGGGGAAGATCTAAACCAGATCCTTCTTTTTTTCCTATCCGTACTTCTAAATCAGGACAAGGGAGCTGTGCAATTGCCTCATCTCTTAAGAGTCCACAGGATTAAAAGTGGAGACAACGGAAATGTCTCCTCTCTAAGAGGCCCAGAAATTGCAAGTTCAGAGGGGAATGGAGATGTGTCAGCTCTGAAAAGTGAATGTAGAGTGAAGAATAGAATTACTAGGTGATGCTGACTTTTGATGGCCCTGTTTGATTCCAGGCACATTTGGAAATGAATATGGAACAGTTTGGTTGAATACAAAATTACAACTTATTCATCCCAGACGGTTAACCATGCTTCAGGCTGTTAGTTAACCCATCTTTTCTGAGGTCAGATGCCCTTCTGAAGCCTCTTTAAAGTGGCAGGAAGCCTCACCAAGGGTCTATTCAGTTGTTGTCAGTAAAGGAAGACTGCATGTTTCAAGTGATGCCTCAAGGACATTCATTCCATCAGCAATACCTGAATTGTGCCTGATTTAGAATCCAGTCCATTTTTTTCTCAGTAACAGAGATCCCAGTATAAAAGCCTGAGCTTGTAATCTGTTTCTGGCTCTATGTATACGTGTCTCTTTGTGTCTCTCTTTTCTTCTCTCTTTTTATTTCCCTCTTTCCTTTCTCTCTGCACGTCTCTTTCTTTGTCCCTTTTCCCTTCTCTTTCTATTATCTGCATCCTCCCCACCTCCAAGCCCCCCCCCTTTTTTTTTGGTCTGCTCTCTCCAGGAAATTACTACAGAGGTTTAGAAAAAGGCCCAGCCTCATAAACCTCAGACAGCCAAAGGAGAGAAAGAAGAGAGAAACATCAAAGACGACAAGGGACGTTTGTCCCAAAAGAGAAGGGCTAGAGACAATGAGACAAGTATGTTTTGAGGAATGCTGGCACCATTTAAAGTGGCCCTGGGATGATCACAACACAGCTTAAGTGCATTCTAAAACTTGCCTGTGGAATCCAAGGGTGGTCCCTTGCTTTTTACTGAGAAACACTGATTTCTACTAACTGTACAGAATTCAAGCGGAAATCTGTTTCCTGACCAGCCCATGCCCCACCTGCTTCTCTTCCCCATCAAACTTCCATCTCTGGCAGAGGAGAGAACTATTTGGTTTATGTGGGTGTGTCAGCCTGTAGTGGGTGGAATAATTATGTGCTTCCTACAACCCAGCTTCATAGTTACCTCCATTCAGGAAATAGATTTCTGGCAGGACTCTAAAATTCAGTAGCGGACTCGTCCTTCACCTCATTTCTTCCTTCCCACACCCCTCTGTTGTGGTCCATGTCTAAGAAGGGGAAAAAAATTGGTTTTTTTTCCCTTTCTGAACTGTACCAATAGCTATAATTCAACTTGGTTTAAAAGAAAAATTTCCTTTTGTTCCTTGAGTTTCCTGTCCCCTTCTCCCCACCCCCACAACCAAGTAGGAGTTGTTATGCTTACTATATGTAAGCCCTAAACATGCTCCTGTGTTTTCTACTTTCTATTGGTTGTGATGGTTTGGTGTCTCAGTGATTAAAAAGCTGAAGAAGACTTCTTGCTCCCTCTGCAGAATCTGGAGGCAGGAATTTTTTTTAATTCATTGTTTACTTATTTATTTATTGAATTTATATTGCATCTTTTCTTCAAAGGAACTTTAGAGGGAACCACAAATATGGAACATCCAGATCCTATCACTTATCTATAAAATGATTTAAAAAAAATAGCTAAAGGGAGAGGGGACAGATGGGAGAGAGAGAGAGGGTAAGCAGTACAGATGAAGGCATATAAAAGGCAGAAGGGATCTGGGAAGAAGAGACAGTGATGAATCCTAGTTTAAAAGGCAGGCAGGCTTTAGCCCAAGTTCTGGATTGTGAAACTCACTTGGATCAGTGTTCTATCAGATGCCATTTGCCTTTGCCCTCTTGTTCCTTAGCTCATCCTCCTAGGAGGTCCCTCTGAGAGGGATGTTACCTTTAAAATCTGAGGAGCACCACCACCACCACCCCTTGTCCTACAGGAAAAGTAAATATACCACCAGTCCCTTTTCCTGTACGTGGTCACTTGCTTGTTCAGCTAAAACTGTCAACATCTCTAAGCTCCAGTGAAAACTTTTCATTGCAAGGCGGGAAGTCACCCCTATTGGGTATTAATGACTCTATAAAATGTAATTTCTTTTATTTTATTCTGTTACCTAGAAAATCTATCACAGGCTTGTACTATTGATTGTTCAATCTATAAAAGGCTCAGTTTACAGCATGACTGTTAGTAACAGGGTTATTTTAATGAGTGACTCTTCAGCACCTTTGGTCACACTGGATTCCAACCTTCAGCCTTGCTTTTATAGTACAAGACCGTCTGATTTCGGGCTAGTGACTCACGCTTTTCTCTTCTTGTCACTCTTGCATAGGTGACCCAAGGTGAAACTTGGTCCACGCTGTCCTTAATAAAATCACAGGCCATTGCTTGGCTGTACCCTGTCATGTAATAAGCAGTTCTGGAAGAGCAAATCATCCTCAGACTTTTTATTCCTTTGATTAGTCAGTGTCTGACCAAAGGAGACCTCCAAATAGGTCATCATTGCTCATGTGTTATTGGCAAACTCAGCCAAATAGAAGTCAGAAGTTCAACTATTTCTGGAGAACAGCAAATGGTTACTCCACTGAGTGTTACATTACTGAGATGCTCTTACCCCCCAAAACTCCCCCTACTATAATAAATTACTAGGCTGAGGAAGCATATGGCAGCCACAGCAAGTATTTGTAGCCCTGAACTTTTAAAACAGGCATTTCCCCGAGACCAAACATTAATTGTTAATCATTACCCAGCAGTACTTCAGCCTAATAAAAGTGCAGAAAGATGGAGGTCAGGATCAGTGAGAGATTTCCCATACCAAAATCCTATAAATGAGTCAGTCAGTAAACATTTATTAAATGCCTACTATGTGCCAGGCACTGTGCTATGTGCTAGGGACACAAAGAAAAGCAAATTCATGATCCCGGAGCAGGGTGGGATCAGTTGCTTCTCTTGCTTTCCCGCCAGCCTCTCTGAGAGACAACATCTTGCTTCCTTCTAATACCTTTCATTCTGTAATGGTTAGTAAAGGCTCAGGCAGAGTCAGTTCAGTTAGCTGAATGTGGCATCTTTCAGATGCCTGGCCTGAACCAATATCAATTTCAAACAGATACGATTTGGAACTTTCTTGACCAGCCCTTCCCCTCATGCTCAGGTTGAATGGTTTTAATGGGCCTTCTTGTTTTGTTTCTGTTTTTTATTCATTTGTTCCTTTACTAATGCCCTACACTGATCCCTCATCAGGGCATAGAAAGAACTCTGGGTCCTCAAAGGCAGAAAGTTCTAGTAAGGACCACCAAGCTGGGAAGGCTTTCAGGCAGACTTTTCAGACAGACTGTACCACTGTTATTCCAGCCTAGCTAGATTAAAGGAGGCTAATCAGTCAATTAAGTACCTAAAATCTCCCCTTATATGAGAAGTCTTTCCTGATTCCCCTTAATACTAGTCCATTTCCATATATATGTGTGTGTATGTATACACACACATATATATACATACACACACACACACACACACACACACACACACACACACACAGACTCTGAGCTTCTTGCTCAGAACAGGGACTGTTTTTCGCCTTTCCTTATATCCCAGTGTTTAGCACAGTGCCTAGCACATAGTAGTTGCCTAATAAATTGTTTATTGACTGACTTGTAGCTGCAAGGGATACACAACAACATCATCATTATTACCATCATCATCATCAAAATAGCTAGCATTTTGCCCACTTCCTGAAAAGAGTTGTTGGACTAAAGATTCAGAATTTTTGGATTTGGCACAGTGTGGTAATTTGTTTTGTCTATGCATATTTGTTGGAACGACTTTTTCTTTTTTTTTCCCTAATGTGGGAGGAGGTGGGAGGAAAAGAAAATAGACTTTTGTTAATTGAAAAAACATTTAATTAAAAAGGAAAAAAAAAGAAACTCCATTGAAGAAAATCACCAACTCATCTGTGACTTACAGATGAGTTTTGGAGAATTGCCTGGGGACACTGGGAAATTGTCACACAAGTCTCAAAGTCAGGAAGCCCTGGGTTCAAGTCAGATAAGATTAAATAACACTCGGTTTATTGGCATTTTTCACATTAATTCTCCCATGGAGTTTCAGGGCCACATTGATCTTAGGGTAAAAATTTCTGTAAACTTGGTATGTCTACCATTTCTGCAGAGAGGCTAAAATAAAAATAATAAAAATAGTAAGAACTTAACATTTATATAGTACTTTTATGTATACAAAGCTTCACCCTCAAGGAGCATTCT